CTGAAAACTGTGCAGTCACAGCTAATGCAGCATCAGGATAGCACTGCACTATCCAGCTTGCAATTTGTAGCACTGTCATTAAAGAAAGGAGGAAAAAGATGCAAAAAGGAGAAGCCACATCCATCAGCTTGAAAATACTTTGTAAACATGAAATAGAGGTAGAGATGTGGTTTTCAAACACAAATGTATTAAGGCACATCCATATTTAAGCTATTAAATCATAGAGATTATAATGTCAGAATTATTGATTCTCGATGAGATCCAAGTATTGGTGTCATCCTGGATTAGTCTCTTGGCTGCAAAGGAGGTTATTTCTGAAGCAGAGAATGGATCTGGAGCCCTTTCAGTGTGGGTCTTCTAATTTCTGTGGTTTGAGAGCCCTGATGAAGACTTTGGATAACAAGCATATTTTTTTTGAGGGGGGAAAAAGGGGATCACCAATAAATAAATTTCCAATTTTAGCAATCTCACTTTCTTTAGTTTCCTCAATTGCTATTTCTCCTTTGCAAGAAAACTGGCTAACAGTGCACTGCTTTTCAGCTGAGAGATCTCTCCCATGTTAGAAGATGCCCCTGGTCTGAAGTCTGGGCAGCTGGGGAAGTAAGAGGTGTGTTCCCCTCTAGTTCAAAGCCCATTCAAGTGCCTGCATATTCAGTTGCTGCAGAGTACTCAAGACATCCCTRTGGAATTGGCAAACTAGTTAAATTCACAACTTCTATGTACCCTGAAATAGCTCAGGCACAGCTTGGAGCACAGCTTTTTTCCCCAAAGATGTGTGTGCTGGAGGGTGCATAGGGAGAGTGCAAGCCAAGGGTATTTCAGTTAATGATAACCCTTCCTGAATATCTCCATGGGATATTCAGATGCTTCTCAGCTCCCAGAGAGATGCAGGAAGATATGACCCCAATTTAGCATCTCATCCAGAAAGCAGTAAGTAGTTCTGACAGTGCAGGTCTCCCTAATATCTGTGTGGAAAAGTCAGACTTGGATGTGAGCCCAGCCTTTGTGTTGTGCTGAAACTCGAGATTTTTGGGTCCTAGAATGACTTCAGGCGATCCATACTCTGACAGATAGGGAGTGTGAGATTTGGAGTTGGTGACAAGGAAATTGTTYCTAAAATTACTGGTGAGGGAAATGGAAGGAGGAACAATTGCAATTATTTGCTGTGACCAAGGTAGGCGAGACTTGTTCAGGGAACAAAGGCAGGCTTCACTTCTTAATCYGGTCACTCTGACACATCCCCAGAGCTTTACATTGGAAGGAAAAGAATAAGAGGCTTGCTCTGTGAATAGCTCGCATATCAGAGTGTAGGAGAGTGAAACCAGCTTTAGGTAGTTTGACTTTATTATTCATCACATGTGCCTGGAGGCCTCCATCAACCCTCCAGCCTTGTGGTGCTGCACCAAAAAGAGCAAACACAGCCCCTGCCCTGGAGCTGTCACAGCCCAGGATTGCAGAGGTGACAAGGGGACACAGCCAGAGGTGTGAGGCAGGGACACACTGCTATGACAAACAGGTTTGCATGGCACCCACAGCCCCAGCCACACTCATCCCCAAGCTCTGCTTCGTGGGATTCGTGGCAGAGGTAAAGCATAAAAGTGTAGTTGATAGAAGACAAGATGGTACCTTGTGGGGAGATTTTTACTATGATTTACAGGGCAGGCTGTGAGAAAACATAAAAGCATCTCCAGGAGAAATGACAGWATCTGTTATCTTTACTGAGGGAAAAAAAGTTTTCTGCTGTGACAGGTATTAGATTTAAGAGCCAAGGAGAGACCAAGCAGTGAAGAGGCTTAGAGGCAAAGGCTCAAGCTTTTCTCCCAATCCCACAGAAATATTTATAGTATCAAGGCATGTGCTATCAAGATGAAAAAATGAAATCTCAGCAACAGTGCTTTGATGTTTTTTAGCTGGTGGGTATCTTAAAAAAAATCCATTGTGTTCTACTTCATTATAGAAAAGAAACTGTAAATTCTCTCTGCTTTCCTCATGAATGATCCCTAAGGGCAGCTGAGGAGTCAAATTGTTCCAGCKTTCACCCAAATATCACTTTTCACACTCAGGCCACAGTACCTCATGAGCACCACTGCAACTTTGGACAGAGCAGTGAAATCACCACTGAGGGTGAGGTGCAGGTCCCAGTTCTRGTCTGTACTTCCAATTTTCAGGTGCCCTTGGACCACCATCTGTATGACCTGGGCTTTGTACATGAGGGATATGAGAAAGAAAGATTTTGTTGGGGTAGTAATGTTCTGTTGAGGTTGTGCCTCACTGTCTTTGACATGACAGCTGTGCCGTGAACAGACAATGCAATGTATTTTTTCTGTGTTAAGCTTAGTTTAAAAAAACCAAATCATTCTAAATCAGAAAGCCAGAAATTATTGAAATTTGAAAATTGTCAAAATAATATTTTACAAAACAGTTTTTCAAATAAATATTTCAAAACTTTCAAAAAATCAAAAATTTTCAGTGTGTCCTGGCAGCCAAGAGGGTCAGTGATCAGGTGGGTGGCCCCAGGCACAGCAACTCCACCCGGGCAAGGGAAAGGATTGTCCCTCTCTGCTCTGAGCTGGGACAGCYTCACCTCSAGTSCTGGGGKAAGCTTTGGCACCACAATATAAAAACTATTAAATTATTATTAAACAATTAGGGAGTGTCCAAAGGAAGGTACAAAGATTGTGAGGTTCTGGAGGGGCCATGTAGGGAGCGGCTGAGGGCACTGGGTCTGCTCAGCCTGGAGGAGACTGAGGGGAGACCTCACTGCAGGTGCAGCTTCCTCGAGAGGGGCAGAGGAGGGGCAGACACTCATCTATGTGGTGACAGTGACAGGATCTGAGGGGACGGCCTGAAGTTGTGTCAGGGGTGGTTTAGGTTGGATATCAGGAAAAGGTTCTTCCCCCAGAGGGTGTTTGGGCACTGAACAGGCTCCCCAGGGCCGTGGTCACAGCATCAGCCTGACAGAGCTCAAGAAGTGCTTGGACAAKGCTCTCAGGCACAGGGTGTGACTCTTGGGGCTGTTCTGTGCAGGGCTGAGAGTTGGACTTCCATGATCCTTTGGGTCCCTTTCATCTCAGGACATTCTATGAATATACAAAATAGATTCATCTACAAAAAATATCTCAAAATGGACTCTTTTCCTCCTTGCTCAGCTGATATTTTCTGGCTGAGAAAATTTTAGCTTCAGTGAAGAGAAAAACTGCTGCTTAACACAGTGCAGAGTGGGGAGAAATGAATAAAGAGGAAATGTTTTCAAAACACTAAAATGGAAGTTGTTCCTTGAAGGACAAACAGATCTAAGATGAGGCTAAAGGAGAGACATTCCAATATGTGGTATGGGATGCTCAGAGCAAGTTATTTGRCATCTGAGAAWGGCAGAAAGAGATTTTTWAAATTTATTTAATGGAATTGGAAGYSCATTGCATGGGTCTAGAATGACTCAGTGATAACACCCAAGRTACCAGGGCTGGCTGCTTGGTGTTACTGTTGTGACAGAGAAAGGACAGGATTCAGGAGAACAGATTTACTGGCAATGATCAGCTAAGAAAAGGCATATGGAGAGAGAAGGGGGCAGGTGGGGTATGTGTGTCTATATGAATATCTRTGTTATTTATCAGGAGGAGAGGCCAAGGTGTGAGATTAGAGGGCAGAGARTGATCATGAATAAAGTTTTGYATTTGTAATTTGTGTATAGGCAGAYACTAAATCAGACCAAATCCTGYATRKTTATCTCTGCAATGCTAAATCTTMTTTTCCCAGAAGAACAGTCTCTAAAAATTATTTTCTTCTGCTTTCTGTTTTTGTGATGTGTAAGGATGGCAGTACTATAATTAACCCCCTCCTGACTCTGCTCATGGATGCTGTAACTTCATGCAGCAGCACAATTACACACTGAACAAGCTGAAATTTTGGCTTCTTACCTGAATTAATGGGAGCAACCCATTTCTCTAGGGCTGTACAGGAGAGACAGGTCATAGAGCATGTTGAAAAGAAAAATGTTAGCCAGCAATGCAGTCATAATTCTGAGAAGGAGCTTCTGATCATGAAAGAAAAAAGGTTGTGTGCCTGACCTTCCTGGGCACAGAATGCCCCAAACTTTCACCGTGAAATCATTGAAGATTGAATGTCCTCTGAACCAGCTAAAGCAAACACAATGCACAGTCCTTTTGAAGGTCTGTGCACGCTCCTCAGTGCTGTGCCTGGCCTCAGCTGGGCTGATTCTCTCTGAAACAAGCACTGYTAGTGTCTAATTTGTGATGGGAAATGTGTTTTTTGGGGGTGATGCAACCCCTGAACTTAGCTGTGCTTTGACAAAATCACTTTTATCATCTGCACTCCATTGCATTGCTGCATTTAGAGCAAGTGCTGTCAGCGTTGTCCTGGAGTGCAGTTCCTGGGGCATTTAGAGGGGACAGTGGAGCAGGCTGGAAAAGAGGGGTTCTGCATTTGGGATCAAGTTCCCACTCAGACTTTTAATGCCTGCACTCCTGCAGCTGCTGCTGGCAGGACTGGGATCACAGAAACACCTAGGAGAGCAGGCACGGGTGCTTGTGACCCCAGTAACTCAGAACCATTCCAGTGACCCCAGYAACTCAGAACCATTCCAGTCGTGCACTGAGCAATTCCCGAGTGTGATCCCATGGTCTGTCCTCATTTCCCATAAAGCAGCTGTAGTTTGTCATGGTTATTTTCAGGCTCCAGGGAAGCGAGCTGCTTGAAGCAGGCACCACATCCAGCTGCTCASACTTCAGGAAAACCATTCAGCAGACTTCAGGAAAGATTAATCARTTGGCCTGGCTTTAAAAACCTTACCCAGAGCAGGTGAGTTAGTGCTGGATCTTGCATGCCAGAGCAGAAACATCCTTCCCCAGACCTGGGAGACTCAGCCTGTGCCTCTTTAAATCTGCGCTGCGTGCTGCAGTGCTCTGCATTGTTGCCATGGCAGAAATCTCCCCATAGTAATAACCTCTTTCAGAGAAGGTTAAAAAGAGACAGTGCACATGCTCAGAAATGCTGCACTTGTTCTCTTAGCAGTTTGCAGCGGCCATTTCAAAGAAACCATCACAAAGACAAGAGAAAGATCAGGTACTGATATTTTTTCCTTTGTTAAAGGGGGTGACTTTTCTCTTTCATAGAAGTCCATGCACAGATCTGTCTCTGTTCCCAGTTGCACTGCAGAGAGAGACCACCCTTGAAGCCTGTYGTGATTATTCCTTGCAAATTCCCATGGAATAACTAAGAGTCAGGAGTTAGACATGATTTAARATGATTGCTGCACTAGAGGAGCAGTTGTTTAGCAGTGGGGCTGACATACGAAGCTGAGCTGACTCTGGGGTGGGTGAGGTGTAAGATACCCCAAAAAAGTTTAACAGGGTGTCTTCTTGCTTTGTTGAAGCTTTGGAGTGATCATAGTCAGCTGTCAGAATAGCCCCTGCTCTTCCTGACCAGGAGGCTTCTTCACAGGCACTTCCAAAAGAGGCTGGTTTTGTCCTAATTTACTRTTAATTGGAGACACTCTGCTGCATCCTATTGCAAAGACTGGTATTTTGGATTGTACTCGTTTTGGTTGCAGATCACAATTTAAACAGAAAACCCAAGCCACCTGTGGTGATTTTAAGCCCTTTAAGGATTGTAGAAATAAGAAAAAGGATCACATCAGRTCTAAAGAGTGGGTGGGAGGAGAAACCCAATTGTGAGATTATAGAAATTATATTACCAGATCTTTTTGTTGCTGTGGGCTCAAATATACCTGTCACTCTTCATGTACATGTTTATCTTTTGCTTCTGCACCATTCCTTTCTCTCGTGTTTAGGTTGAGGTGCACAGGAAGGGGATGTGTATAATCCTGCTCCTTTCCTGGTGAAYTGCTGGTTTGCACATGCTGCGAGTGTTCGTGCAGAATTTACAGCTTTACATTATCTGTGTCTGAAAAGGTGGATTGCACATATTGAAGCGCAGTCTTGTTCTGTTCTGTGTTTGTGGCAAAATGGGGAAAACCCTTCCCTCTCCTGCCTCCCTCTACTGCCTTTCTAAATGTGAAATACAATCTGTTCTGGGGAGTGCTGTACTCTTGCATTCAGGACATGCAGATTTGATGCTCTTATGCAACATCTTTTGCTCAGTAAGCACCAAGTTTAGACTCAGAATGAAGCAGATCATCGTGCTGCTTTCCCATGTTTAGCTGAAGAGATTTTTCATGTGGATTTTATTGTATTGCCATAACTTAAGCCTTATTTCATTCCTTTTTTCTTCYATTTCAATGTACAGGAATGAAAGGTGAACTTGGCTGAGCTAAGGACCTCCCTAGCAGTGGACCTGCTTGGAGGATTGGRTTGAAATAATAAKTAAAATAAATAAAACTCTARTGTTACAACTTGAGCCAGTCCCTTTCGATCTGARCAGTTTACCTCTTGGGTCAAGAAAATATTTAATTTGAAACATTAATGTCAAACTTGTAAAAAAACTTGCCTCTGTGTGAAGGGAAGCTGTTGCTGGACAAGGTTGTACCAACCTGAGGGTGTGGTGTGGCCTGCCTGTGATGTTCAGGAACAAATGAATGACTGCAAATAATGGCCTGAAGCCCAGGCTGGAAGGGGAAACAGAAGGTCAAAGAGTTTTGATGCATTTACTCTTAGAAGTTATACATATGAATTTGTAGAGGTTTAACMAAAGTATTTTCCATCATCTATTTTCATAAAGGAGTAAGTTTTTATAATCAGTGTRCTGTGTAATGGTAATGGTTACTTTTAGTTATTATACTTATGAAAAGGTGATGCATCAGTAAAACAAGCCAGAGGCCAAAGACCTTRTTTCCAGGTTGTGTTCCAGCCAGCTCTGCAGGTTTGATCTCAAAGTCTAACAGGGATCAGCTCTCCAGATCCATGTGTGTGACTGTTTAGTTAAAAAAAGACACAGAGCAGGCAATGTTGCTGGCATCCTGGCTTGCAAATGAAGCAAAAAAACACTAGGGACTTCTTATCTTGGGTAGGGATGTTCTCTCCCAGTCCAGTTTTATGTACACTCTGGAAAGGCACAGAGAACTTTTGTCCATGCTCTAGATCTTCTGGTGCTTTGTTTTCTTTCAGAGCAAGACTGACAATGCTTTAGCCATCAGGAACATCAACTTCTTTGTAACAAAACATCGTGTCTGTGGTGTTCCTCACTAACTTRTTTATGTCTCTTGACCAACAGAGAAGCACCCATCCCCAAGATGCTGGCACCCTGCCTTCTGAGAAGAGCCATCCTTACAGTTCCTTTGGTTTTTGTGGTTGCACTACTTGTCTCGGAGCCTGTTAGAGCTGACCAAGAAGCAGGAACAGCCATACCAGCTGAAAGTAGGTACCAACCACCTGCAGTCCTCTCCTACAGCCCCTACTGCAGTTCTCATGCTGCAGGACTTGGAAGTTTGTCCAAGAGATTCAAACTATTTTGGACATATCTTGCCTACATTGTTTTAAAACCAYGATTTGATAACATACCAGTGCTGGTTTGCTCCTGCATCCAAGGCTCTCCACTCTCTTATCCTTGTCTCCTGCCTGTTGCTGTCTTGTTTGTAGCTGAAATCTTCCACTGTTCTGCACCTTTCCTTTTGTGAAAGCCCTCTCATTGAACAGCCCTTTCTATGTCAGCAATCACCTTTTTTTTTTTTGCTTTTCAGAGTTGTTATTGAGAATTGTTCTTTTTCAACTGACATTGATTGTTCATTATATTTCATTCTTGCCAATGTTTGCTGTCTTAAAATCATGAGTTTTTATTAAAAAAAATTCACAGTGAGGATGCCAAGAAAGCATTTTGTCAATACCTAATCTTGTGGCCTTCAACCACCTCATTCTCCTTTGCTGTTCTGAGTTTATTTTGCATTATAAACATTGTGACTGATCCTTGCATCAAGTTGTTGATATGAAAACTGCTGTCCTCTCTTTTTGTGTCTTGTAAATACAGTAACACTAAAGATGGGTGATGGTAGCAATGATGGAGCAGGTCTTTAATACTGCTCAGTGTGGGGGTTTTGTCTTTTTTTCTTTGTTTTTTCTTAACCAGTTAAAGAATTTGGCAGGCTCACTTTCTCCAACAGGCAGAATTCCTGGTTGCTGGTTAGCACTCAGATCATGAGCTGGAAGTTCATTCTCCAGTGTGTGAGAGGCACGTACAGTCCAACATCAGGTGTTTGCAAAGTGGGTTGACAAAGTGGGCAGAATTTTCCAGCATTAGTCTGGAARGAAAAGTGGAACAGCAATACAGCAGGAAGAAAAATATTAATGTAAATTTGAATAATTMTTTTATCATTGAGAGACTGGGTGGACCATCCCAGCAGGTCATTTATAGTCACCCTTTCATTCACACCAGACCCCGACGAGCAAACTAAACCCAGGCTCAGAATTTCTCACTCGTCAGGTATTTCCAGTGGATTTGTCAGCAAGGCACAGGCAGCAAGAGRCAAATGAGAGCAGAATGTAGGGCCTGATGATTTGAAGATGTTTCATCATGTCTGTGTTTGCTCTGTCTCAGTACTGCTGCCTGTTAGGGCACAGATTTCTGTGACATGATGATCAAGGCAAAGCAAGTCTCGTGGCCTTCAGTCTGGGTTCTTGATCTGAGAACACTCTCTTAAACACTCCAGTAAATCCAGATTGCAGCACTTCTTCTTATCAGCAATGCTCAATAATGACAGGGCATTTGTTTGGACAAAGCCATATCATATTCAAAGTTAGAGGCTGAATGATCTGTCTTTGTGATATTGTTATCAGTTTTATTCTATTACTTTTCTATTTAGAGCTCACATTTGTGAGATTAGGAGACAAGATTTTTCTAGGGAATAGGTTCATGTTTTCAGACGTAATTTCTGAAAAATCTGAAAATTGAAAATGTGCTCTAATTAAGGGTCAGTGGAGCRAAATGAAAGGCTCAAGTTAAGGGTTTAATGTTTTCATGCAACRAGCTGTGGRAGGAAAAGTGGAACAGCAATACAGCAGGAAGAAAAATATTAAYGTAAATTTGAATAATTCTTTTATCATTGAGAGACTGRGTGGACCATCCCAACGGATCATTTATAGTCACCCAGGTTGCTCAAGAATACCTGCATCAGTACTTACTCTGTGGGCTCTTTCCTGTAGCTCTTTCTGATGCTCAAAATCACTATTTAATCCTTCGAGTTCATTCTTYATGCCGTGTAGTCATGATTCTCTACTAAGTGCTCTACCAAATGCTCTCCTAGGCCGCCCCTGTGTTGATTGCCATGCCTTTGAGTTCATGCAGAGAGCTCTGCAGGATTTAAAGAAGACAGCATATAATCTAGACACAAGGGTAAGGAAACATTAAATATCTTCTTTTTAATTTTTTTTTTCAATGTGAAAGAAAATGCTGTGGATAAAAGTAGATAAGGTGGATGGATTTTGCACACTGAGTGAAATGTGCTGTCCTGTGCTCTAAGGTGAGTCTGATTAATTACATTTCACCTCTCCATGCAATAATCTGTAAAATTCTTCTGCTTTGTGGTATCAGGGACCACAAGTACAGGAAAGTGTGAACTGACCACCCTCTGCCTTCTTGCCAAGTTATGGCCATTAATGCTGCTCTTCTCATTGCAAATGTGGAGCACACACCTTTGTTTTTATGTCAGGGGGAGTAAGGTGARAATATGATTTATATTTATTATCCAAAAGCAGAGAGCCAGCTCAAACAAAATTCCTATTAAAATAAAATACTCCCCTGCACATGCTTTTATCCCAGGAGAGAGGCTAGGGGTGCAAACATCATCCGTAGAGAGTCTTTACATTTCTCTGATTTCATAATGATGAAAAACACCACAAAGTAGAACAGCATAGGGAACGAAACCTGTTTGGCTTGCAGTGAGTGTGCAGAATTTGCCAGGGTTGGTTCCCTCCTTCTGTGGGGGATGTTGAATCTGTCTCTTGCTGCTGCAACCTGCAATCTGTGCCTACCTGTGTCCCAGCTGCTGTCAGATGGTGCTGTCCCAGGAGGGTGGCTCTGTCCCCACCTCCTGTGTACCCTTTAGCTGAAGTGCTAAAGATACACTCCTGCACAGATTGCTCATCAGAAGGCACTCAAACTTTTCCAATCCATGGTCAAGGTTGTTTACAGGTCAAAGCCTGTGAACTGCTGTCTTTGAGGAATGGTTTGAGGTTACTTTGAGCAGGATCCTTGATGTTTAGGTGAAAATGCAAGTGCTTGAACAAAGATGCCTTGAATTGTGACATTCTACAAAAAATAAACAAACATTCCAGCAGAACCAGATGGGTATGTAGCACATTTACAGCTAAACAAAATCTGTTCAATAATTACMGGTCAAATATATTTTGGGTTTCTTGAAGTAATCTTGCTAATGAATCTGCTGAGCACTGTGTACAGCCCAAAAGAGATGTTCAGATTGTGCTGTAAAGTGGTTCTACCACACCTCTTCCTTCCTAAACAAACCTTTAACTTTTCACCAGAATTTCTACATCTTGAGACAAAATGTCTAMAATTTTTTTCTGCCTGGCTATGGCAGCAACCTTTATGAAACCTTCAGCTTGCAGACCAAGGGAAAAACTTTATAAAACACAGATATCCAAAGCAGGAGTAGCAATAACAGCSCCAAAGATAGCAGTTTAACAACTATTTGGCTGTAATAAAAGACAGCCAGAGAGATAAGCCAAAGAGAGGATAGAGAAAAGTCAGTTGAGATGAATGTCCAGTAACTGACTTTCACACTCGTAGATTTGACAGCAAGCGTGAAAATGTGATATATTCTCATGAAAACAAACCTATCACTTTAAAATCTAAATAATTGAATYCTTATTGAAATCCTTCAGTTCCCCATGACTGGAACAGGCTTATTCAAGTCATTGAGTGAGGAATTCTGCCTACATCTTCAAACGACATGGAAATATTTAATAGTTGAGGACTTCTTGGAACAGCCTTCTAGGGTATTTTAATTCTTATTTTTTTATTCAACTGTGGCCCAATTTGATGCAAACTGAAAGGTTTCGGACCACTGCTTTCAGCCACATATGTATTTCACATTTGACTATTTTAGCCTGTTTTACTGCTTTGTGGGGCAAATATTTCTGTCCCCAAAAATACAATTCCCTTTGTTAATATTCCCACTGGAGGCATTAATTTCCTTGAGAAACTCTCCTTTGTTCGCAGGCAAGATTGTTGGATGATGACTAAGCAGCTCCTAACTGTGTTGGAGGGGGAGGGATTCCCAAAAGCTTAGAGAGGAAATTCTCATTTAATTCCTCCTGCACATCTTACCCTGCAGTTCTGTGCAGGGGAAGCCTGTAGATAGTTTTATTGCACAGCTCAAGAGTTTTCACACTTAATTTGGCCCTGGATTGATCTACAGGAAAGCAAACTGGCTCTAGCATGGGTCACAGATCTTTTATGGAGGCCCTACATGGAATCTCCATCCTTTTCTAAAACGAGCTGTGTTTGTAACCTACACTGATGTGATGATCCCCTACCAATTGTCAGGCTGGCTGCATGAGAAGGGTCACAGACCACTTCTGACAGGGTGTTTTTTACACACACCAGATCTGTTTACTCTCTGTGTACTGTTTTTGGTTACTGCCAGCCTCTCAGAGCAGGCTGCAGTAGTTGTTTTGGCAGTGAGAACTAACTCTGGGCAATATTTTCTGGGTTTATCTGTGGTTCACCATTCAGCCAAGTGCCGTGGTTATCATGAACTGGGAGAGGGGTGTTGTGCTGCTGGGAGGGAGCTGCTTCCATCACAACAACTGAGTGAGTTCACAGCCACGTCCCTGTGGCATCTAAAAGCTGCTCAAGACAGAGCCCAGAAGAGAATCCACCATAAAACAAATCCTGGAAAACAAATCCAGACCATGAACTACACAGTTCTCTCTAAGTCTGCACTTGTTTTCAGAACTCCAGCCCATTTTTCAGTTAACCAGTGCACATTGCATTACAAGTTTAAAGAGATCAGTAACCGTATTTTTAGATCAAACTTAACAGCTTTTTTTGTAGGTTCAAAATCTGATTTCTTTTTATAGTTTTGGCTTGGGTTTGTTTGTTTGTTTTGGTTTTTTTTTTTTTTTTTTCTTTTTTTTTAGAACAGGCTTTAACCTACCAGGCAGTAATAACAAACCTATGTGCAAACAGTTTTGTGATCACACTCACAGAACAGTCAGCAAAGCTGTGTTTACTGACATTCATTTTTCCTTTATTGTTTTATAAACTGGCAGTGGTTATTTAGAATGTTTAAAGCTAGATGTGTCCCTGAAAATAAAGGGAAAGGCTTGAAAATGTTATTGAAGATATATAAGATGGTAAGCAGCCTTGGGGCTCAGCTCCRAAGATGTTGGCATGCTGTCAACCTCCCTTATTCAAACCATTGCAAATGATGTCAAAGAGGTGGTGAGAAGGTGGTGATTGAGGGTCTTTTCGATGATTAACGAAGTCTGATCAGATCTTTTCAGTATTGCAGGGCAGCTGAAACAATCAAAAGTAATGCCTGATTTAATATAAAGCCACAAGTCTGTGGTTTTTCCTGAGATTTATCATCTGGGGGGGAAAAAGCCTGAGCAGCAGATGGCTTTTCCTGCATTGAGAAGGCAAGTGGAGAGCAGGATGCTTCAGCCCAGCTCTGCATTAAGTGCCTTTAGCTGATGTGGGTCAATGGATAACAAACACAGCTTTTAAAACACCTTCAATTGCCTTTAATCGCAAGGCAACTCCATCTCACACAAAACTATCAAGTCAGGCAGATTAAGGATGAGTTTGATTGGCATTTAGAGCAGATAATCTTCATAATGCATTTTTTTTTATGTGTAGCTGGTTCCACCAGTAGGAATTAATTTGGTAAGTGGACTTCCCCCAGCCACTGTGTATTCCCATGACAGTAAGGGGGAAGTSCCCTCTTGGATCAGGCTGATTCTCAGATACAGCTCCAGCTCACGAGAGACAAAATGAGGTGGAGACATGATGTTGATGTCCAACAGCTCTGCTCCACCTTGCACCTACTGAAGCAACAAGTGTTCCAGACAGCCAGGAAAAACAAAGTGTGTGTGTGTATGTGTATGTGTGTGCTAGAGAGGAACGTTTCCCAATTTTCTTTTTGTAGCCCTGCTGTCCCTTCCCTTGTTCTCAACCCTTTCTCACCCAGGTAGGGTGCAGGTCTTTCAGGATCATATGCAGCTCCAGCTCTCAGAAATTCCCAATCCACCCTCATTGCTTCAGAAACAGGGATTTGTGGGTAACAGAGATCTCCTGGTATTGATGAACCTCTGTTCAACCCAGAGAGCTCTGCTTTCACCAGTTGGGAACCCTTTCCTTGAAGAAGCCAGGAATCTCATTACCTCTGTGAATTCTGATGGCTCTGTGCCAGCTTAGTGCCCCTTGTCTGTTTTAGGCTCCAAAGCACATTATCCATATTATATTATCAGTAACAGCAGTGAAAAAGGAGAAGTTAGAGAAGTAAATTTCTTCACTGGGAGTGGGTCCAGACTGTAATATTCTAAATTTAAATTTTGAGTCWGTTTTTAAGTAAAATAACATTTCTGACATGCTTTGGGGGACGGTGGTGCGGCTTAAGCCACTAATGAACTTCTGAGCTTATGCTCCAGTTTGTGCTGTTGAAGTAAGATTGTAAGAAAGAAAAATAGCTTTCTCCATGTCACAAGAAGCAGTGCCATGTGGGTATGCCAGTTAATCCCAGAAAAGCTAAATTATTTTGCAGAGCAGTAAACAAAAACKGTGATTTTTACCCCAAAATTCATCTCATACTACCAGTTCCACATTGTAGATTAAAAATAAAATGGATTTTTCTTTGGGAGCTAACTAGTTTTACAATGTTGACACTTGTTTTTCGATGATGTTTTTCCCCCCTCCTATAGACAGAAACTCTGCTTCTTCAGGTGGAAAAGAGAAATCTGTGCGACTGTGTGGCTGCCAATCTACTGAACTGAATCCTGGAGACACCTGAGGAGAGTCAYCTGTTCAGCAGTTTTTAAAATGCAGCTGTATAAAATACAGCTTTATGGAGTTCATGTTGCAAGCATGTATGCCCCAATATACTGATGAAATTGGGGGCCTGTGTCTGATGTATTTGTCTGTTCTGTTTTTTGGGTTTTTTTTTTTTAAAGTACCTTCTTTTCACATCTGCTGGATTGTCAGTAAGGGCTCAATTCAGTAATTCTTTTACTTTATRTTAGAGTGGGGGAAAAATGTACCTGCTTTGGTTTTTAAATCAGAATTTGCAAAGTGTAACCCACAAGATAAATTTGGACAATGGTGCCCTAGAGACACGTGCAGCTGTTTTCTGTCTCTAACATGAACATATGTCTGTGGCAACTCACCCAGCTACACTGAGACATGGCATTGTGGTCTCTGTAGGCTTTGTCTGTGTATTAAAGAGGATGAAGTCCTTTCTGTTTGCTGTCTGTGCTGTGATCACTTTCAGGCATGTTCTGGTTCTGTCAGCTGTGATGAGGTGTGTGTCATGAGGAGTTACATGTCTGCTGTTCTTGGACCAAAACAATTTATATCTCAGTATTGAGCCTTCTGTTATCCTGATTATTATTTTCCTTAATTAAAATGTTTAGTTTCTTCCCCTTCTCCCCTGAACACTCCATTCTTAATCTAGTGAATTTTTAGATAGCTTTATTTTAGCAGGTCAAATGGATAAAGTGAAAAGGAGAATCAGGGTATGACTAGGCAGCCTGGCCAGTTCCAGCTGACCAAATGCTGCTGCCAGCAACTGCTCAGCATCACACTGAAGGAAAGCTGCTTGCAGTGCCAAGAAGTTTCTTTGTGAGTGTGCCTTATTTTGTTTCAAGGGAAACACAGTGATAAAGTCACACATATTTGGTCTATCCTGTGATCGACTGATCTCTGAATTGCTTTGGTTTTCCTTTGCAGTTGCCTTTGAAAACTGCTCCTTTTGTTTCAGGCATGAAGAAAAAACTTTTGTACCTGAAAGTTGAGATTTGTTTTATTCTCACCTCTCCCCCTTTATTGTTAAGATATTGTGGCCACTCCTGAGCCTGAAGTAGGCTGAGCACTTTGAGTAGGTGCTTGGAGTTTTTCTGATGTGATTTAGAGMTATCTGAAACCATTCCAACACTGAGACCTGGCTTGAGAAGTGGATGGGACATCTGAAGATAAAAATCTCTTCAGGTGAATTTGGAAGAAAGTTCCTGCCTGGGGTCTTGCTTCTTTAATTTAATTGGTGTTATTTTGCTGGAAGAAGATGAGAGAGGAAACAACTACTGCTCTGCCTCTGCAGCTCTAGGTGTGGTAACAAGCAGCTGGGGGAGCAGGAGAACACCAAAGGGACCCGGAGTGGCTTTCCAAACCTGTCCAGAGCTTGGAAAACCAATTCCTGTACACTGAGAAGTGCAGGATGCCCTTTTGTGTGTGGCCAGGACATGGGCCAGCACAGAAGCACAGTGTGAACTGCAGAGGGGATTCTGATGTTATTTTTCCACATTCCCACCAGGAGCAGCTGTGCTGTGTGTTTTTTCACTAGGTCTGTTCACACAGCATGGGGGCACTGGCYCTGCTCATTTTGGGCTGCTTGGCAAAGCCAGAGTCACTGCAAGCCTCACCTGCAGCTCYCCTCGCAGAGAGTGGGAAGGGACAACTGTCCTTACTCAAGCATGGCAAAGCACTCAGGATTTCTGGGAGCAAAGCCTCCTTTGGAGGGCTTCAGCTGGTCCTGGCTGAAGCAGAATGGCTTCTCAGAGCTCCTTGGCTTTTGCTGCACTTGGCTCATTCCCATCTTGTTCCAGCTTGGCTTCGTTCCCCSTCTTTGCTCTGGACCTGTCTTCTCTCTCCTCTCCATTTCAGCCTCCATTCCCCCTTTCACTCTGGCACTGCCCTCCCTCTAGTCCCAGGGATTTCTCAGGGCACTCCAGGCCCCCCATCCTGGTGACTCTGTAGTCACTGCAGGTGTGGGTGCTGGGGCTGACACTCCTCAGGTCTGCAGCCCCTTTAGTCCAGGTGACAGCACTGCTAGAGCAATGAGTGACCCTCCAATTTCCCATGGAGTGAGTGACCATGGTGCTGAGCAACATCAGCATCTCATTCCCAGGCAAGAGGAATTCACCTGTCCAGGGAAAACATTGTGCAGAAGGGCCTCTTTTTACCTAAAAGCCAACATTCCTGTCACAGAACTTGGAGGAAGTCCCAGAACAGCTCAGTTTCAGATGAAAGCTTTGTTCCTGAAGCTGAATTATTCTGTGGATTATCCCCTAGTCTGCTGCAATTTCACTGGGTTGTTCCAGGTGTGGGCAGGAACCCAGCCACGTTTGCCAGATGGAAACACCTATAGATCTTCATGAATTTTTCCCTTGGTGATTGCACAGACAATGGCTTGAACAAAAGAAAATCGGGCCATGTGGAAATATTTTCCTTCAGTCATTTTGCTACATCTCTACTTTATGATTCACCTTGTTAGAAATGGGGAAGTGAAACATGGAACATAATTGGGCTGTTGACCCAAGAGAAAGGAGCCAGGACAGGGATGGATGGGGAAAGGGAAATAATTTTATAATTCTCTTCCTCAGAATATGAAAAATTTAAGATTCCTTTCAGTCTGCAGAAGCTCTAACAGGATCATTATATTTCCTAGTGGAGATTTTTGCATGCTCTTTGTAAGTCCACCTTACCTATTCTCTTTTCATTCAATGACTGTTCTGTATTCTTGTTCAAAACCACCAAAATGTCAGAACAGCTAAAATGCCACCAGTTCTGAAAAAAGGATTGGCAGGGAGGTCTGGAAATTGCACCCAGCAAGKAGAATATCTATTCTGGGCAAGTGAAAAGAAACTTCTGAAGAATTTGAAAATGTAAAATCAGGTTTAGTATGACAGTGAAAAGAGTCAAGACCATTTTTACAGAGAACAAGAATACAGTAGAACCATATAAACTGCTGACAAAGGAGCTGGGATAAACAGAAGCAATGTGCAGACTGGGAGACTTCAGTCTATTGAAGACATGGCTGAAGAGCATGATAGAATTTTATAAAACCATAATGACCAGAGAATGGCTGTTTACTGCCCCTTTGCAAACAAGCGGTGGGATGCACTGAAAAAACCTGCTGGAGGCAGGGTCAGAGCAAATATGAGGACAGTGCTCTTGACCTACTGTGTGCTCCAGTTGTGGGAATCTACCACTGTGCCTCCTACAGGATGTGCATTTTATCTCCTAAAAATCCCAATGTTCCTGTTAAATCCAAACTGTTGTTATACACATATAGAATAGGGTAATCTGAACACTTATGTATCCTTCTYGCTGTCCACCTTGTCCTGTTTTATTCCCTGTTCCATATTATGTGGTGCCTCTTGCTTTCTGACTGCACTGAAAGYTGTCTGAGGCAGAGAAGTTGTCCTGTCAATTGTACTGCCAGTGGCCATCACCCCTTTAGGTGTCATCACCTTACTAAATAAAAATCACAGTGTGAAATATTCTGGCCTCTTGCTCTAGATTCAAGCAYAGTATTCATTTATATGGGTTTTCAGTTTCATCTCATAGATATTCCTTAACCTTCCAAGACCATCTTACTGCTCCAGCTGTGACTTTGTAGTGATGGGAGTGACAGAGATGGTATTTTCAAGGACACTTGAAGTTTAAAAAGTGGCTTAAAACATAAGAAGAAGGGTTCCAGGCATGGATGCCATGAGCAAGGAAATGCAAATATCTGCAGATATTCTATTTTTAYATTGATCTGCCTACACTTTTCCTTCCTCACAGTCAGGGTTGTCATCATTTGATTCCTGCTCTGAACCATGCACTTTCTGAAACCTGCTAACACATCAGCTGGTCTTCATTAGCTTTGAGAACCTTTTGCTGKTTAAATCAAAGTGACACTGCACTTTTCTGGTCATTTAAGTGACAAARCTATAGATTGCTCTCTTTGTCAAGAGTGTCTAAAGATGGGGCAGGACTGGCAGCCCTGCCATTATTCTTCATATACTTCATCTCTCTCAGTGTCCAGATCAGCTGCAAAGATTGCTGACTGGTGATGCATGTTAGACCCTTCCACAGTGCAAACAGGATGCAGATTTCAAGGGAGAACAGTGTTCAATTTTTTGTTTAGATGTGGGGGGATCTGAATATTCTGTGTTTGTGCGTTATAGCTGCACTTAATGTTCATACTCAGGCAAACAGAATGGTAGCCTCAGCCCTGAGCTACATCTAATTGCTAGTTATTTTCTACAAATTGTTTTTTTTWAAACTTTGTTTTTACCCAGTTCTTTTATTTTATTTCTATTTTATTCCTATTCCATAAACTGGCTATCCAAATGCCAGCAGACAATACAGACAAAAAAATGAAGGAGTCCCATCATTGGGAATTTTTTTGCAATTAAGGACCTGTGTGAATTGTTGGAGGAAGAGAAAAACACAGCATCTATTTAGCTTTAAGTGCTAAGAGTGTTTATAACATATTGATGTGTATAAGGATATTTATCTAAGGGAGTTTGCTACAAAATAGAAAGTGTAGGAGCTTTTCTTTGTAAGAGACTTTCATCTAATCCCAATTAATGGAAGTATTTGCTAACAGAAAATACATGCTAATACCAAACCTGGACTAACTTTTGCAAACCAGTGTTCATTTAGGCAAACAGTGCTGACAAAATCTGTCATTTTGTGTGGCTTTTGCATGAGCCAGGTGAAACTTAGTGTTTGCATATATCTCAATAGGCTTTAACTTCCCCAGATTAAGTGAGGTTATATCTATTAATCTTTTGACTGCAACCTATAAAGATGACCATGCAGTTTCACTCTGCTTTTAAGTTTAATTCAGGGTTTGTGGAGAGACACAAACTTCAGGACCAAAACCAGAGTTACCAACATTTGTGAGTCCAGCTTAAAGCCCAGGCTTTCATGGAGACCACCTGCAGTGCTAAAAGTCAACTCTCAGAGTTCTMAACGTTGTGGGCTATTTTTCTTCCCCTCTTAAAGAGCAGAACTTCATCCATGCAGTGAATTTGATACACAAGGCTTGTTGCCCAAGCAGCTCTTGCATTCATCCTGGACTATTTATGCACCATAACACAGCGTCCAGCCTGTGAGCCGTGTCTGGTTTCAGCCATCAGCACTAAATAAAACCAACACACAACTCAGGCTTGTACTGGTGCGGGACCTGAGCAGTGTTTAAATGCCTTTTGACAGCTGGTATGTTGTACATTGAAAGTGTGGTTTGGGTTATATACAATGTAAAATCAAACACCTTTTTAGCCATGGAAGGTTGAACCATACTCTGGAAGTCAATAGCTCTTCTAAACTAAAATGAGATCTCCCCACCTGCCCTTTCTGTAAGCACAGACAGGCTGTGCAGAGAACTGCCTGTGCCTTCAGTCCCTCTGGTTGTGGTAGACACAGAACAATGTACCCAGACCCCAGCACTTAAAATATCAGCCCACAGTTTCCTCCCAAACACATGAACTCAGAAAGGGTTTTTACACACAATTCACTAGCAAGGAAATAATGACATGCTTATATCTTCCTAGACAGGGATAAGGTTGGCAGCAGCAAGGCAAACAGMTCAGCTTCGTCCTCAGTGGCATTCAGAGCACACAAACAGCACACAACCCTTGCCTCTGCTGTAAATTGACCCAATGTCCAGCCCAGTGATGCTTGCTGGATTTCCAGCAGTTCAGGGCAAGCCTCCATAAATAAACCAGGAAAAACTGGTATTTTGCCAGTGATTCTTACTTTTYCTTGGAACCAAAAGCCTGAACTGACCCTCATTTCACAGCAGTGTGACACAGCCCCTCCTGCCTAGCTAAAGCACTCTAGGCCTCTGAAAGTCTTTAAAGATGCTTGCCACATATGGCTTCAGTTGATTTTTGGAGAACCGACCAAGTCTGGGTGCTTTCCACATCTTACACTGTGGTGAAAGAGCCCTCCTAGTGTTGATTTGTTCCTACATCAAGGGATTTTAGTGCTGAGTTTCTGTCATTTGCCCTTTTTGCAGCCACATCTCTGTTTTGCGGTGTCACATGGAYTTTGTTGGGACAGCTTCAGTGTCTCAAAGCCTCGCAGTCTGACCAAGGCTCAGCTTGTGCTCAGACTCTTGAAGGATTTTCCAGGAAGCTCTAAGATAGAGAACTGGTCAAGCAGTGATGCCAAGAACAAATTGGTCATTTCACGAGGGAGGTTCTTTCCCCACACCARACTTCTGACTTAGTGTTTAAAGAAGATACTGAGCCATCAAACAAAGGTGAATCATTATCTCCTAACATGARGGACAAGGTAAGTGTAAGGTGATTTAATTTTCATTCCTTTTCAGGCCCGGGGTGGCTATCAGAAAAAAAAGGCAATACAATTTATTCTATTTATGGGCTAAATTATCTAACAGCCCACAAGCCTCTCACCTCTCAATTCATTGGCAAAATGGAGGTTTACTTATTTAAAGGCAGATTAAGAAACTGTGGGCTCTTGTAACTGCCCTGCAGCCAAAGGTCTCTGAATTGGTTTATCAGTGACCCTTCCCAAAATGGGAATGTTCTGACATCACATTTGCTTAAACCAGAAAAAAAAAAAACAACATTTCCTTTGCCCTGACAACCGAGGGAGGAGATATAAYTAGTCTGAATTTCAGATGCTACGCAAGGGCAATGAATTTTTCCCAGGGGTGTCTGTGTTTGTGCTGGAATTRCAACACAGAGAGCTGGAAGTGACTGCCTGGGGAACACAATTATTCTCAMTCACAGAGTCAGGAATAACAGGAAGGGAAAGGTATAGATAAAAAATCACTCATTTCTTCCCTTGTCTTTATGCAGAGCCACTATCCCAATGCCATTCCCAAATGATGTCTAATTTATACCAACAGGCTCAAATATTCCCCTGTCTTCCACAGGAAATCCATCCCAGTGCCATCCTCRTTTTTAAGAAATTTTCCAGGGGCTTTGGTTATGCCTGTTGGATGCCATTTAAACCTGTGGTTGTTTCTGCTGCTGTTGGTGTCTCTGATAGTTTCTAGGACTGCAGTGAMCAAACCAGACATAGCCCTGCAGCTCAGGCCTACTGAAGGCAACCTTTTGCACTTTTTTTTTTATATCCCAGTATAACTGTGATTTTGGARGGAATGACAGAATATTGTAAATCTGTTTCAGCTTGTGACTCCCTAGCTTCACCATAGAAGTGCCACTTAATGGGCTGTTCCTCATTCCAAATATGAGCTGTTGATTATTTCTGATGAAGTCTAGCACCCTTTTCTCATTTTTGTAAAATTTTATTCRGTTTTTAGACCCTGTTTTCCACCTTGTCTGCCTGATTTAGAATTCTAGTCATTTCCCCCAGTATTGTTTATAACCTCCAAGYTGATGTTACATCTCAAATAACCACTGTGCTTATTCATTATCCAGTTGCCTAATGAAATGCTGAATAACCCCTAAGTCTTTGCAGTCCAGATGTGACACATCTTCCCACGGGGACAGTGACCCAGCCAGTTTTGCTGGCCTYGAGAAGTTTCCTTCATTTGCTTCTGACAATGCTGTGTGACACAGCAACAGAGATCGCCCTGGAGTTGATTAAATTTGGCATTCSTTATCTGCAAGGCCTCTTATTCTGCCACAGAAGGACACCAAACTGGTTTGACTTGATTCTTCACAAATTCTCTTATTTGCAACTCCAGTTCTTGTTTTTCAAACTCTTACAAACACTGATGGGATTATTGCTCCAAAAATATTCCCAGGGATAGATGGCAGATTGCCTTGTGTGCCATTTTCCAGTTTCTCTTCCTCAATGTGATTAACTTTTGATTAACTTCCTCAACTTGATTAACTTTCCCCTTCTGCTGAACAGAGAATAAACTCCCTTGAGTTTTGCCTTACTTATTTTACTCCCCTTGTGTTCTAAAGGATGCTTTCTTGCTGTTCATGTTCCACACTGTTTGTATCTGATTTTGCACCTTGGCCTTTCTGGGGTTGTGCCTGAGGTTATTCTGTTGCCATTCTGTAATTCAGGGAACACTGACCAGACACAGATTTTCTGTGCCTGTGCTTTTTTCTTCTGTTTGAGTCCAACAAAGGGTTTATGGCCATGTGAGCAGGCAATAATGTAAAACTTCATGTTAAATGGGATTAACTGCCCYGTTTGTCATGTGTGCCCATGACTGCAATAGCAGTTTGTTATAAAATCAGAACTTTTRCCTGCATCTTGCTTTTGTGCACACATATTCAATTCAGGCTTTTAATGTAATTTTAACTGGATATATAATTTTCTTCCTCTACTTCAAAGATGTAAATTTCAATATCTGTAACACTTAATTTTCAGTCAGAAATTTCCCAAGGAAGCTATCAGATGTCTATCCTCACTAAGCATTCTCCCTTTAATTCTAATTGCTTTGGAGGAAACCTTTTCTTTTAGCAAACAATTATTGGGTGTGTATTCTCCATATAAAAAGAAAATTAGGGATAAATATTTCTGACAGCCTTCTGGGATTCACCATTATATTCTTCAGACACTACATGGACTTCTGTGAATCTTTTGTAATTTTCTCATCCTTCAAAGTAAATTTAACACTGATATCCCTTAGTGAATGTAATAGCAAAGCAAGTCACAMAAATGCTTTTATGCTTCTCCCTTCTTCAGCTTTGTTGGAGGCGGGAAAATAACACAGATTTCTGGAACTTTTCCATGCAAACTGGCTCCTGTTCCCTGTGAATTGAGAAACACATCTTGGACCTCATGGTTCTGTTAGMAGGAGGAGATGGAAACTTTTTTCATGTTTGTTAAAGACCCTGGCATTTGACACAAAAACTGGCCACACTCTGTAAGTGCAATGTCTGGTTGTTTTATGTTTGCACTGAGACAAAAACCAAACCAAAACAAACAAACAAACAAAAACTCACCAAAAAAAAAACAAAAAAAACCCTCACACAAAAAAAAACCAAACAAAAAAAAACCACCAAAAACCAAACAAAAAAAACCCCACCATTATTTTAAGCTCAGTAGTATAAATGGCACTGAAATAACACCTTGTACTCCTTAGGTGGTGGATACAGAATRCCCTACTGCAGATGTCACAATAGTTACAATTTTAGAGAAGGCTATACTGATACCTTGAAACCATGCTAGAACAAACAATGCTTTCTAACTTATCAAAACTTATTGCAAATGTAGGTAACCTTCCTGTCCCTTTCTTGAAACTCATGTATGAAAAGTAGGTTAGAGCCATGGGACCATAATGAGTGTATGGTGAGAAACACACATGCCAGTGTAAATGGAAGAGCAAGGAWTTTGGATTTTGTGCCAGAATTTCCATTTGATGTTATTTAAAACTGCAGATCAGGGCTAGACTGTGTGACCAGCTCTAGATGGGTGCACAGTCAAGCTGKACATTGTTCATACCCTGGCTCTTATGGAGCTGCTCCTTTAACAGGCATCCTTTAAGATCTGTGAAGAAACAAACAATGTTAAACTGGTCCATCTCACACAACCTCACTTTGACAGGAACCTCAACTTCTCATCAAGCCAGTGGAGACATTTGGGTTCATATGTGTGCCCTGACCCACCTCATGCAGATCCCACTGACAAAGACCTTCATCTGGACACAAGGGAATTTCAGTTTCAGTTGCACTGTGGGCTAAAATTCTGGCARCATCTCATTCCTGTTGGAATTGCTTCCACCACTCTGGGCTGCCCCCTGCAAAATCCTCTCTTGCAAGAGAGGCAATTCCAAGGCAAGTTTGATTTTCCAGAAAGTCCTGTGAGAGGACCTTAAACTAACCAGATTCAAAAGCACAAGCATTGAAGGCAGGGCTGTAAGAGGTAATTCTGAAGAAGCCACAGGCACAAGTTAAATAGAAGCAGAGTGCAGTGCTGGTGACTCTCTCTAGGGCTGAAAGAGCCATGGATATATTGTGTCTGTGTCTGGGAACAACCTGGCAGGTTGGTTTTTCTGTACAGAGCAGGAAGGCTGGGGCCTRCTCCTTGGTGAAAGATGGAATGTCCTTCTGTGAGAGAACAACACCATGAATTGAACAGATGTTGCAAAATGAGCCTTTAATCATGCTCTGGGRCAAGCAGGTAGGTGTGCAKGTTTTGGCTGRGCTCTTATCRTGGTTATCCAGTGTGATGCTGTGCRTTTTCATGGCTKGTCCCTGTGCCAGGGGTGTTGTTATCCACAAGGCTTCATTTTCAGTGTAGTTAAACAACCCCAGTGGGTTCTTCCCCAAAGTACAGGGTACCATCAGCAGGCCCTGCAACTTTGTTTATCCAAGCAAACTTTTGAATTTTCATCTCATTTGACATCTCACAGAATGACATGTCACTTTAAGTGAGTTACAGCTAAAGCAAAGGATGGGAACTGTGTATTTCAGCACAGTCCCGTTGGGAATAACAGCAACAAACACAAAAATTGCCCAAGACCCTCTTATGTGGGTGGCAGCAGCCAGTGCTTGCCAAGGAGAGGGCACGGCCTTTGGGAGCAGGGGAGGAGCATAGCAGTGACCATCCATCACACTGTGGTCCCTTTAAATCTTCTCCTCCACTTGGCAGCTCCAATTTTTCAGAGTTGCCATAGCAAATCTCCATGGCAATGACCCCAATCAGGGAAGGGGGATGCAGGAGGGGCGCATGCTCACAGTGGATGCTGGAGCCTCGCCTGCTCGCTTCAGCTGCTCCGAGGGTCTGGCACACGGGCGAAGGGAAAGATCAGGTACTGATCAGGGCCAACTGATCCTTGGGGTGCTGGCGAGCCCATGGCATGTTCCTGCGGTGCTGTGTGCGAGTGGGTCGGTGTGGGCACGGGGTCTGCGCTCGTCGTGTCTCATCCGCCGCTTTGTGAGGAGCGTGCGGGGAGCAGAGTGCTGATTTTCACCGCTTCTCCTCCTTGTTGCAGGCAGAAAAGACACCTTGAATCATTGATGAGAGCGATGGCGCTGCCGTCCGTCCGGAGCGAGGTGCGAGTGGCRATCCTGCTGCTCTCTGTGCTCAGCGCCAGCCTGGTGGGGGCTGGCCAGGACTCCGGGAGTGCCATCCCTGCCGAAAGTAGGTACCTGCTGCACCCTGTCCTGCCTGCACCCTCAGCACCACAGGGACCTTGTGCTGCCTCATTTATGGGGGAGTGACCGTGAGTTTGTGCTGTGCCAGCACAAGTCATAGAAACAGCAAGCAAGCAAAGACTTAATAATTATTTAGGAAAAAATTGCTAACTGCATACTCTAATTTTCATCTGAACTTGTATTCAGGTTCTTTGTTCGCAGGTCTTTTAGATCTGCTTCTTGAGCATTTCTTTTCCAGATTTGCCACAATACACATGATGTCCTACTAATCTGAGCATTGTTAAAAGAATATTTGTGTGTATTTCTGGTGGGGGCTGGCCAGAATTCCTGGAGTGCCATCCCTGCCGAAAGTAGGTACCTGCTGCACCCTGTCCTGCCTGCACCCTCAGCACCACAGGGACCTTGTGCTGCCTCATGAACGGGGGAGTGACCGTGAGTTTGTGCCGTGCCAGCACAAGTCATAGAAACAGCAAGCAAGCAAAGAATTAATAGCTATTTAGGAAAAAAATGCTAACTGCATACTCTGGTTTTCATCTGAACTTGTATTCAGGTTCTTCATTTGCAGGTCTTTTAGATCTGCTTCTTGAGCATTTCATTTCCAGATTTGCCACAATACACATAATATAATGATGCCCCATTRTTAAGAGAATATTTGTGTGTATTTCTGCTGGGGCATTTTATCCTGCTTATTTTAGTACTTGGTTGGAACAATAGGTCAAGTTCAACTTTGTTGTAACTGCTACAGATCAGCACAGGGGATGTTTACCCAAACAGTGCATTTGTAAAGCGAACATAAATTTCTGAAATACTGCAAAGCTAAAATATAAATAAATAGGACAGACTAGCTTAAGCACATCATGGGAGCTCTTGAATTTGGATCACAGCTCTATATGAGCTCCCTCTGTCATTTTGAGTCTRAACTTTCTCAGCTCCTAAATGAGGCGATGGTTCAAAGTTATTAGGGGATGGAGTCAATGTTCCCAGGGTGTTTTGGTGACAGAAGTAGCCACTCAGCAGAAACAAAAAATGCCTTTTGGGAAAAGAAATCAAATATAATTGCATAAAAATGAATTTCTAATTCTTAGTCATGCTTGCTTTGTATGACAGCTACCTTTTTATATGACTACCAAAATATTTAACACAAGATCTGATTTCATCACTGCATTTTATTCTCCATTAATTCCATTACTAGTTTTCAAATAAATTTGCATTTGTCTCCACAGGATTTAGATGTTGAATTTCCCTCTTTTTCCTTCTCTTCTTTTTTTTTTTATTAGTGCTAAGTTTTGGTCTGTTCTAAACCAGACCTCACCTCTGTTTTCTGTGTCTGTTTTCTAGGCACTCATTAATTTTAATAAGTTATGTGATGACTAGTTCATATTATCTCCTTAAAAAGAAATCAGGCTTGGAGAATAAATTGTRTGTACCCTTTGTGTGTCTGTGTTAGCAGAGGCAAGTCAACACATTTGGGAAAAAGTGTACAGTGGTTTCTCGTTCTACTTCTGTAGTGAAAATTCCCATTTGTTCTGTAGAACAAAACTCTTGGCCAGGGTTTCTGACCCAAGYCTCACATAACTATAAAATCATAGAAAGGTGGGAAGAGCCCTCTAGAGCTCATCTAGTCCAACCCCCTGCCATGGGCAGGGACATCTTCAACTTGATCAAAATGCTCAGGAGTCCAGTTCAACCTGACCTTGAACATTTCCTGGGATAGAACATTTACCACTTCTTTGGGCTACCTATGCCAGTGTCTCATAATTCTCACAGTAAAAAAAAATGCTTCCTTGACTAATTAAAATTGATCCTCTTTTAGTTTAAAACCATTACCCCTTGTCCTATCGCAACAGGCCCTGCTAAAAATCTGTCCCATCCTTTTTACAGTAGCAAGGAGTGCTTTTACCATCTTTTTACCATCCTCTAGCCAGGCTGCAGAGTCCCTTGAACAGCCTTTGAGGAAAATTCCCTGTCCTGTCTCACTCCTGCATGTGAGAGTGTGGAATGCAGGCCAGGTCAGAGGGTTTCTGTGGCAGTGTTCCTGCAGAGAGACACTGCCCATCCCAAGGAACAGAGGCTGTGAGCGTTGCTACAAAAACATATTGCTGCTATTTCTGTCTGAGACCAGGCCAGGAGCAAGACAGTCAGCTGATGGTGAATTGTAAATTGTTTTGGGTGGCTGCAGGGACAGAGTTTTAAAGCCTCAAGGGACTCCTGATGCTCCTTGTCATCAAGCTGAGAGAATGCTGCATAGCTGCTAAGTGCTCTCGACATTTTCCTTTGCCTGTTCGGGCTCTTCCTGACAGTTAATCTGTGAAACTTCCTGTAGGACAGTGGATGCTAAAAGTTTGCRTGAGATTGCAGAACTGATTGGTTAAATGCAAGGGACAAAAACTCCTGTAAGGGGGTGCTAGATAGAACAGCATTTCTTCTGGCTCAGGAGCTGCCTTAGCATATTCCTGAGAGCTGGGAGGGTCTTTAGGAACACATCCCTCCTCTGTTCTTGTATGTTCCAAGGCACCCATGGCTGGCCAGGAAAGTCTCATCTATAACCAGTGCCCCTGGCATGGGGACACGGCAGTGACCTGCTAGGATGGACCCTGGCACACTTGTGTCCATGACAGGAGGCCAGCTGSAAAACAGAGCTCACTGTTCCAGAGATGAGCTGTCCCATGCCAGCTGCTTCAAGGTTTGGGAATGCTCCTAGACTTTCAATATTCCTCAAAAGATGTASATCAGGGGAGACTGAACACTGGGCAGGGCCCTCACTTTGATGCCATCTGGCACAGACATTCCTGCATCTTTTCCTGCTTGATGCTCCAGTGGCTACTTCTCATCAAGGATCTTATCCCCCTGGGCACTGAGCCACTGAGGGGACACTGACCCACTGAGGGGACACTGACCACTGAGGGGGCACTGACCATTGAGGGGGCACTGACCCACTGAGGGGACACTGACCCACTGAGGGGACACTGACCATTGAGGGGGCACTGACCATTGAGGGGACACTGACCATTGAGGGAGCACTGACCATTGAGGGGGCACTGACCATTGAGGGGACACTGACCATTGAGGGAGCACTGACCATTGAGGGGGCACTGACCATTGAGGGGGCATTGACCCACTGAGGGGACACTGATCATTGAGGGGACACTGACCATTGAGGGGGCACTGACCCACTGAGGGGGCACTGACCCACTGAGGGGGCACTGACCCACTGAGGGGGCATTGACCCAATGAGGGGACACTGACCATTGAGGGAGCACTGACCATTGAGGGGACACTGACCATTGAGGGGGCACTGACCATTGAGGGGACACTGACCATTGAGGTGGCACTGACCCATTGAGGGGGCACTGACCCACTGAGGGAGCACGAGCACACATCTTCCCTATTGTTAACATTTGGGTCCTTACTGGTTGTGGGACCCTGGATGACCCAGAGAGGGAAAGGGGGCTCGAGTCCATGTTCTTAACAGGGATATGGGATGGACATGGACCATACTGAGTGTCCTCCTGCAGGGCAGAGCTGTGTGGTTGGTGCTCGTTGCTTTTCCCTGCTCCCAGGTGTGTGACAGGGCGCTGGCAGCGTGCCTTTAGCAGGAACATTCCCAGATGGACCACACAGTGTCTCTCTCCCACCTGCTGGGAGGAATGTGTCCTTCCTGCAGCATCACGAGCAGGAGAGGGGCAGCGATGCTCCGKGGAGTGTGGGAGGTGCAGGAGTCACAGGAGAGAAGCATGAGAGTGAGTCACAGTCCTCCTTAGCAYTGCAGAGACATCCTGTCCCGTGTGTGCCACTGAGATCTGGCTCGGGACATTGTCCCCTGCTCTCTGCCACTCACAGAGCCAGGCACAGCTTTTTATGAATAATTCTAATTAGCAATGATAAATTGTGTCCTTATACTTTCTRCACAGCCCTTTGCATATGCAAAAGACTGTTCAAGTTTGAAGTGGCGCTTCTAATACTTGCAGATTATTTCCTTTAAATATCGAATTCTCTGCAATCCACTAAAAAAAAAAAAGAACTTATTTTCCTGACCTCCCATTGCTTTTATAGCCCAGATCACCCACTGTGAAAGCTAAAATATGGAATCTGAAGACTGAAGGTGGTCAGTCTGTTTTCATCAACCAAGGTGCATGAAATACAAAGAGTAAACACCTAGTGTACACAAGGGAAAGTACATTAGACTTACACAGTGCTTTCAGTTCAAGTTTTTCACCAAGAAGAAGCCAAGAAATATATTTTTTCTCTTCCCCTTCGTCACCCCAAACACACAAAGAAACACACAGTCTTCGTGCTGACAGGAGCCATTTAAAGAATTACAGCCGACTCTTGATAATTCTCATTATGTTAATCCACAAACCTGTTAAGTCTCCCTGTGAAAGATAGTCTGTTTCCAGCTGTCAGCAAGGAATTAATAGCACTCTGCTGTACTTTGCTATGATGTGACTTAAGGTTTGGTTTCATGACTGCTTTAAGCTGATGTAAGCCTGTGCTGCCTCTGCCCTTCTTCTCTCCATAACTTGCCCTCCTCTCCTTGCACAATTTCTTGTGCTGGCCCCAGAATTTGGGCATTCAGAATCTGATCTGGGGAAAAATATCAGCACTCCAGCTGACTGAGGAGCTGCATTGTCACTCCTGCTGGGAGAGAGTGGAAGTGTGAGATGCCATAGCCAAGGACAGAAATCATGGTGGGATTGCTCCTATTGGAAACAGCCCTTTCTTAGGTTTGTTTGGAAAAACAGATGCTTAGACATATTTATGTTGGGGAAATGTCCATGGATACCTTGCTGAAAGTATAGTGAGCATGAAGAGAGATCAAATCCACCTGGATAGGCCAGATTAGCAGCTCAGCTCTGCATTCTGGAAAGCAAACCAAGGCAGGGGGCGATGGAGAACATGAAAGTCATAAATGGGACAAAGTTGGTGATTGTTTAATAACAGGATCTTCCACTGCAAAAATGAGAGGCAGGAAATGAAAGCAGCAGATGTCAACTTCAGAGCAGACAGGAATGGTATTTTGTTCACTCAGTGAATAGCTGAGCTGTGGAACTCACTGCCACAGGATGTTGCAGGTGACAAAAGTTTACATGGATTCAGGAAGCAGCAGTGCAAATTAATGGGAGAAAAATCCATGGAGGGCTTATCAGATGTAGAAACACCAGCCAGACGCAGGATATCCTCCAGCCTCTTGGTAGGCTAGAAGAACATTGCTAGACACTTATTCTTACATCTTCCTTAAGTATCTACTATTTGCTACTGGCTCCAGCAGGCAGGGTTGGTGACCTGACCCAGAGATGGCAGTGCCTGGAGAAGGCCCCTCCACCATGGAGCACAGCCCAAGAAATKACATCAAAAAGTGAATATCCTGTTATGTGGTGAACCTGGCTGTGTCTGCACTGTCCCTTTGGAGASCAGTGCCATGTTAGGAGCTCTGCAGGTGCTGATTCAGGACACACAGAGATGTGTCACACATTCAGGTCCTCTGTGCCACCACCCTTCTGCAGAAGCTGCTTTGACCCCAGGGCAGCCACTTTCCCAGGGCTGGCAGAAGTGAAATGACCACTTGTCATGGTTGTGCCATTCCACCAGCTCCCTGCCCACACAGGAGCACTCAGTTGTYGTAAATACCAGCGAATGATCCCACACAGCCATCCCATCACAGCTTTCACAAAGGCCTGAGAAGAATTCCTGGGTGACAGGCAGTGACAGATTATGGAATTCATGGCTGTCCTCAAAAGTGCTTTCTCCCCACTGCAGAAAYGGGAGACATTCATTTATCACCTGAAGGGTTGTTTTTATTTTCTCCTTGAGGTCCTGATTTTGAGAACATTTTGGTGCTTGTCAGCACTTCAGGGCACGCAGCACCTCCCCRAGGTGGAGCCAGGGCAGGAGGTTTCTGAGAAGACCAGAGCGAGGGGAGGAATCAGGGCTTGACACAGAGCAAATGATGGATTTGCTGACAACAGTCTGAGCGTGCAGGTTCTTTCTAAGGGCTCTGCTTCGTGATCTGAAGTGGAAACARTAAAATTACTGAAATACTGAAAGCAGGAGGAGGTTGAGTGTCTCTAAAGTGTGCTCAAAACCATCCTGTCGCTACTCCTGTGCCTGGAGAGAGGCAGAGCCTTTGCAAGTGATGCTGTTCTGATGTTCTGTACCTATTTGCTTTGGTAGAGCAGCACAAATGGCTGCATGTGAACAAGGATTTCAGTACTTCCCCCAACATGAGGGCTCTGTGATCAGTGTGAAACATTCTCCTTCCCCGTTCTCCCTGTATCTCCTCCAGTATCTGTGATTTTTTCCTCTGAAATCTCACACTTCATTAACTTCGAATAGTCAGGGATCAGTGCAGGGTGTCAGTGCAGGGTGACTCCTGGCAGAGCAGAGATGCCCAGGTTCAGAAATGAGCCATTTGAGTTGTTCCTAAGTCCTCTCCTCCTCCCCTTCTCTGCCTTTTCCCTGCCCTGCCCCTCTGTGCACACACGCTGGCAGCAGCTGCAGAGCCAGTGGGATGCTTTGCATTCCTGGCAGAGAAAAAATACAGCAGCAGGTGAAAGGAAGCAAATACAGATCTGGCACTGTCCCTGGCCAAGCTGCTCTGCAAGAGCTCCTGTAAAAACAGACCTGCCTGTCTGGTTCCTGAACCACTGCAAACTGCTATTTTCAGTGTATYTGTTGAGAATTAACTTATGTCTGAGGAGGGGTAAGGATTTCGGTTTTAAAGGGAGAGGCTGGGGGCTGAAGCAGCAGGCAGAGTCAGGTCTGGGCCGTGCTCAGAAAAGCACACACAGCAAAGTTCTCTTGGTGTTTTTTGCTGATCCTCTCCCATTGGCACCAACATAGATAGAGGCAGCCCTAATTTTGCACAGATGCAGGTGAACGCGCCTGGTAAAATAAAGTTTCTCCTGGCAAGATCCCTGAGTATTCCTCCTCTGTACTGCTAAACTCCAAATTTTCTGCTGTGACAGTGATGTCTTCTTCTGCCCGTGTCCCCAGGCCGTCCCTGCGTTGACTGCCATGCGTTCGAGTTCATGCAGAGGGCGTTGCAGGATCTGAAGAAGACGGCGTACAGCCTCGACACCCGGGTATGTGTTTCCACAGGCTTTGCTTTCCCCCAGCCTTCATCTCCCGGCGGTCGGGTTCGCCTGTCTGGGTACCGCAGACATGACATCTCTGCTGACTCACTCCCATCTCAGCAAATAGGTTTATAGCAGGCACGGATTATTTTTCACAGTCTGCAGAGGTTCATTAATGATCATCCATTCTGACTTCTTGCCTAACAGCCTAAGGAATTACCTCAGACAGTCCCTGCACCAAACAGAGAAGGAAAAAAGATGTAGGAAGGGGAGAAGAACAAGAAGGATGGTTTACTCTCTGCCTCACAGCATTGCTTCCAAGCTGTGGTCTGGCTGTTCACTGGGCAGGAGCAGGAAGGGAACGGGAGGCAGGGCTGGCAGAGGAGAGGGAAGGACACACACACTCCTTGCTGATGGATTGATAATCCCATAAAAACGGGGAAGCACATTTGCTCGGGCATTTGTCACAGCACACGGGATTCTGCCCCTTCACATGCCAGTCTGCAGAGGTGTCAGGGAACARGATGAGGGTGTGTTAAATGCCCTGATTTTAGCAATTCACACACATGTGGGTTCACAGATGTGCAAACTGACTGGGGTAGGATTTACCACAGTGGCTCTGGTGTTGTCTGAAGTTTTCAAGAGGCAAGAGGTCTCTCTCCTCTAACAAAGCCCCTCCATCCACGCCTTGTCCTCCCTCTCCTCCCTTCGAGCAGGGCCATCTCTCCTGGCAGGTGAGAAGGGCTCTTTGCTCCTCTACAGCCACACTCAGCTCAAGTTGTCATTCACAGCAAAGCCAACCAAAGGGACAGAAATCAATTGTGTGTCCCAAACCGTAACACAGAAAAGCAATTATGTAGCTTTGCCTTTGGTTTCTTGTGACCTTGGGCAAACGTGTCAGGCCCTACACAATAATGTTGGGGCGACTTCAGCTTTCTTGAACTATCAGTAGTAAACTGATTAGGACAATGCTCTGAGCGTGGGTTACATTCCAAAAGTTTCCCATGCACTGGACTAACAATAAATAATTCTTAAGTGGTGAAGTGTCAGTAGAGGGGCTTTACCTCCAGCAGCTGTGCTGAGCTTTTCCGGTGCATAGCAGGGCTCCACCTGTTTGGATTAGGGTCAGCTGAATGTTTTCTACCTACACATGACATGTCAAGRCCAGGTGCAATTGCAGCTGTCCGGGTTCTTATACTGTCAGGAGAATTTCCATGGGAAGTTAAAGATTTTTTTGAATGCAACAGAGGCWGCACAATTCCTTAATTCCACTGACAGGATACTCAGATGTGTCTGTAATGTCTGTTCTGTCTGGAGAGAGACTGAGAATGCTGCCCATCAGAGAGCAGCGCTGCCTTGGAGGAGGTGAGGCAAATATAAAGGGAAAAGCTGTTGCCAGAGTGCCACAGGATGAATTTCTGTTTCTGTGAGGAGCTGGGCAGGCCTGACGTGCCAAGGCACCAATAGAGACAGGTCCCAGTGTCACACAGCAAGAGGCACAGGAACGGTGCTTCACAAAATCAAACAGAACCACCCTTAGACAACTGTCTAATGCTACTGGTAAATAAAGGCTGTKTTACTGTACACCTTTCCCAGCCTTTGGATTGAGACTCCAAAGCACTTTCTATCAGAAATGCCTCAGTTAAATACAAATTATTGAGTGATACAGAGATTCTAAAGTGAAATGCAGCAGCCAAGGCCCCACGGATGGCACCCTGTGGCCTTCTATACTCTGGAAGGTATATTTCCATGTCCTTATTCTGCTGCTGATTCTTGGCTCATGCTGACCACCGGTAATTTCTCAAGTTTTACACACAAATAACTTCATTTAATAACTCTTGGAAATKGTTGCTACAAGCCCCTTACAGAACTGCTCCTGCATATCAGGGACTTTCTATGCCAATGTCATCAAAGCCACAATTAATTTCTGTAATTGATACTTCTCTTTCACAGTCTTTCAGTTTGCAGTTGAGTGCTCCCAGAGCTGCTCTTCCTGCCTGTAAATAGTCCTGAGTGACGCCCAGGCAGAGTTTGTGGTAGCAGTGACAGCTTGTTGGCATTACAGTGAAATCCAATAAGCCTGTTTGATGTTAAGATGATTCCATGATTTCTCCTGGGCTCCCAACAATGGGAGCATTCACTCATCCAAGATTTCATTGTGTGAGCGGGGAGCAGCGTTTAACAGCACCTGGTTGTGCTAAGCTGATCAGTGAAAGCAGGGAGGGAATGAGAACAAGTCCTCTTTAATGCAAAGGTGGATGTCAAAAGTTTGAGTTGAAAAGGATATGGGGTTATGGAAGGGAGGGAAAGCCATTCTGAAGCAGCCTGTCCTGCATAAGCTTGCAGTCTGAGAACAAGAAATGAATGGGAGGGAGTGGGCACTCTGGGGGACAGAGGTACTGCTGCCCAAGCAAGGCAGGAGAAGAGTGGGGCCCATACAGGAGCACCCAGCTACTCCTTTGGAAATTGTCTTTGTTAATTAGCCCTTTGCTGTGTCTAATTTGTCAGGACTATCAAGTCAGAGGAACACCAGCAGGCTGAAGACGTTGTTGTTTCCCGGAGCTTTGAGATAATTTCTTAACTAGTGGGCTTCAACCTTTAATGAGGGTTTGCAGTGCAGATGAGAAACCTGTTCACAGTGAATTTCAGCCCGCTAGATTATTTTTTTCTCCCCGCAAGGAACTCTTCAAAGCCAGTCTGMAAACTGCTTGAGGGACCACAGACCACAGGGTGTAAACCACAAGATATGCTCAGGAAGAAGTTTCTTTTCAGTCACAATTGCATTTGCTGATGTAGATGGCTTCAACCAACAATTTTGAGAAACTGACTTCTGAAATGATGGAGACATTAAAAAAAATCATCCTTTGTTTCTCAAAAAGTGTGACCATGACCCACAAAATATTTAAGATATTTGATTTTAAAGATCTAAAATTAATTTTTCCCTCTGTATACAGAGAAAAAAAAGCTTGGAAATGCTTTTCCACTAAGGAGCTCCAAATACAACAGCAAATAACTTTAAATRATGTACATAGAGAATGGTTTTTAAGGTTTTGCTCAAGTACTGATRATAAGGCAAATGTCAGTAAAATAACTCAAGTTAAAATAGGAACCACACACTCAGACCTAGATCTGCCCTGAACGATTACGAGTTTCAGACAACAGGGTTTGACTGACAGCTGGATTCAACTCAGAGTTATTCTAGAGAAACAGCRGTGTAACTGAGAGCACAACTGGCTCCTCAGCACTTGCATTCTGGTGCAATTAAATTATACAGTACTGAAGGCATCGTCAAGAGGAAGCCATCAATCACCACGAAGGAATTAAGAGCAGTGCAGCTGAAAGYGGAATTTGTCGCAGTGCTCATAAAGGAAACTTTAATAATTTTGACAGCCCACTCCCTAGAAGTTAACTGTGAAAATGAAAACATTCAAACTATAAAAATACTCTCCCTGCATCTCAGTTCTGAATATACTCATTTCATCATTTTTCYGGATGAAAACCAGCACTAATAACTATGATTTTTCACTCAGCAGAGCACCTTGGCTACAGCTGTGCAGAGGGATTAGATCTAATCAATTATATACTCTTTTAAAGTGATATATTCAGTTCTTTGATTTAATGTTTTTTTTGGTTTTTTTTTCAGACAGAAACCCTCCTCCTGAGAGCAGAAAAGAGAGGCCTGTGTGATTGCTTTCATGCAATACACTGAAATGAGCACTGGGATTTGACCAATGGACATTTATTCATTTTTAAAATACTCTTCAGTAAATTACAGGAAGATACAGAGTGCAAGTTGTGCTCCACCATAAGGAAAAGCATTTTTATCAAAACAGGTATAGCTCAGTTAGATTATTTTTGCTTTGTTGTGGTTTATCATTACTCTATGTGATATTGCATCTGCTGAAATGTCAACAGAAGAAACAGTGCCAAAGTCTTGCTTATGGGTTTTATGAAAGGATAGTATCCTGTTTTTTTGGTGGTTCAAACCAAAAATTGTCCTTGGACTCTCAGGCGAACCTCTCAACTTATGTAATTTGCCATAGATGAAAAGTTAATGGAGTAAAAGTCAATGGAATAAAATTTCTTAATGTATTAACAGAAGAATAACATGAAAAGGAAGCTACTTTGCCATGATGCATAGATAAACATTTACAAACAAGCAGACTTGACTTTATGTAGAAATTAACAGTTATCACTGACTGYTTGGCAGTCCAAGGAAGGGGTTTTTTTCCCAGTGGTATCAATAGTCCAGTGCACGGCAAACACAGTAATCTGTCTCATGATTTTAATTTCTTCAGAGCAGCACAGTAGCTGTGATCTTTCTGGAGAGATTTATTAAGTATCTAATGTGATCAGTAACATTTGTAATCACATGAATACCGCCTGGCAGTTGAACTGATTGCGTCTGCCAAAATCTTCTAGAGAAGTGTCTTTCATTAAGCAAATCACATGCTGGATTGAACCACTCAAACTGGCCTCTACAGAGAGTTTTGGCAGAGAGCCTGCACAACGCCTGCCTGCCCAGGAGTCTCTTGTAAACTGTATTTTGGGAAATACTGAAATTCTACCAAAATGGTCCTTAGCTCTTGTGTGGACTCCACACTCCATCATGATGCGAGACAGTGCTGCTGTTTTTGGTATTCCTGCTGCAGTCAGCGTGAGATGAGAGAGAACAAAACAATTTAGGCAGTGTAGTTGTAATAGACAACAAGACCGTGCCTTGTTACTCTTTAAAAAAGAGTAGCAAATCCTTTCTGTTTTCCTTTTTTTCCTTTATTTTGGGAAGGAAAACAGAAAACAGCCCTAATGGAAAGTTCTTGTTGACAATAACAGATTTTTCTTTGGGCTTAAAACATCATCCCAAAGTAGAGATTTGTGTATCTGCTCAAGGATCTCTGTACAGGCTAGAAACTTCTGTGCAAACAAGAGCCTTGAAGCAGGATCAACAGCAATGGTTTTTAAATAATTTGAGTAATTCTTATTATTATGTCTGTCTTTCTGTAAGTGGCTGATGTTTGTGATATTTTGCTCTCAGCCTGCTCAGTAAGTTAGGGTGGAAGCTCTCTGTATGTTTTCAAACTGCTTCTCTCCCATTTTGTATATAACATCAGGCACAGGGAAATAGGGAACTATGATCCACTGCCAACTTAYTATTTTGTGTGCAGTCATTCTCAGTAACACAAAGGARYGTGTTGCTGTATATTTTGCCAAAGTTGTTTGAAAGGCCTGTGGTTCTCAGCAGGGAAAAACTTCCTAGCACCTGCATTTCAAGTMGGAAATCTGCTTTGTCAGTGGAGTATTCCAGCAAAATCCTTTGTAGGTCATTGGGACCTGTTTTGTGTACAAGAGAAGCAGAATGACACAGCATCACCTCCCTTCTGGTAGCATCACGCTGCTCTGTGGCACCGGTAAGTAGAACAATAGAGGTTTTCCTCACAGACCAGATTTCACTGTATAAAGAAAACAGTAGGATTAACACAGCTCCCTTGCAAAATACCAGCCTTTAGCTACTTTACTCCCACTTGGAWTTGAACTAAAGTAGCTCACAGCTTTTGAGACAGCTTCTTGCAGGAGATGGAGTCCCAGCACTGAACCTGTGAWTTTTCCAGCACAGCTCCCCTTTTCAGGATGCAGCATGTCTATGGTTTGGMATTGCTATTGTGCATGCTTATCCTGCTGGTACCCTAAAGAATCTTGCAAAGTCCTGTTAACAAGAACTGGGGGGTTTTTGTTCATGATTTTATTTAGAAAAAATGGTTGCTCACAGTTGAGTTTTGATATATACAGCTTGTTAYGATAAAAAGGTGGAATGAATGACAAGTGGATGTTGTCTGACTCCCAAAGGGATCAGAGTGACACTGCAACTTTGTGGTTGTAACAGAGTGATTATTCTGTACTTCTCTTTGTCWATAATACATCACAATAAAAGGGCAAGATGCATTATAGTATTTGGTGTGCTTTATTACTTGTTTGACAAAATGGTGGTGCTTATGCATTAATTAATGTCTGGTCTTTAATTAGGTGGAAAATCCACAGAGAAAATACGTTATTTTTAATACCAGAAAAAAAAAGGCATTGTATTTGAGCTAATTTTCTGAATATATTCTTATTTGCTGAAGTATAAAATCAAATTCACTCTTATTTGAAATAAAGGTACAGTGATGATTTTGTGAGCTTCCTTAAGGACCCCTTACTCTRTGCTTAGTGGTTTTGATAAAGTTCCTTATAATTGCAGGATATCATGAAGAAARAAATGGAGCTAGATAATGTTAATTTATTTTTGCTCAGGAAGTTAATTTAAATTCAGAACCCCTTGAGCCTCCACTTACTAGAAGAAACTATGTGTTTTGCAGAAGGATTTAATTGCAGGAGTGCTTAAAGCAGAAAATCTTTTCTCCCACCCAACACTTCCAGTACTTTTTTTTGCTGCAGAGCCAAGGCAGTTCTCATGACCTTTTGAAACCAAGCTGTGTTTTCTTTTGGTGCAGTGCTGCTGCTGCTAGCCCTGGGCACATGGCATTTGTGCACAGGGTGGAATGCAGGTGGGAGCCTGYAAAATGCACAGCCTGGAGGAGAAATGGGATAATCATGTCAGTGTGGTGCTGTCTCTGGGCAGGCACAGTGACAGAGAAATCCTGATAATGATCCCTCACATCTCCAGAGCTTCTCATACCTGAGCCAGTGCCTTCTTTGGGTGTAATTCCATGTGTGTTCTAAGTCAGCAGTTTTGAGCGGAGTTTCAGAACTGCTCTCGGAAGACATGTCTGGATTTCATTCTGAAAATGGAAACACAGTTTACCTTGCTTGTAATGTAGAATCCTGTTAGGTAACATCCAAGCTCAGTGGTGTTACTGCTAGCTGAATCTAGYTGGTGAATGGACCATGTGGAATATTCTGAAAATCCTGTGGAATACCCTCTCTAGATGGAAACCTCATATTTAAAGCCAGTTATGTCTCTGTACACAGAGCTAGTCTGCAGGTAAMTCCTGAGTGATCTGAGCAGCAGATATACACTCCCCATTTTCAGAGAACTAGTTATAAAGTGTAGAAGTCCTTTCAGAGTGACCAGAGMGGTTTTTGTGGCCTCTTCTGCACCTGTCCCATGTACCCAGGGGCAACCTACTCCTGTAGCAGTGGSACTCATGGAGGGGGCTGATGAAGGTTTTTTGTTTGCTGCTTTCACCCTGATGAGAGGAAACACTGAGCTGAAGGAGGCTTACAAGAACCCCAGCTTGGTTCAAAGGTAATTTAAAAGCAGAAAGGCTCTGAGGCTGTTGTGCCTTTTGTGAAGCAGAGAAGCATAAAGTATGTTTTCTCTTTGGAACTGGTGCAAGGCAGGAGTTTTGCCATTGCCTCTCTTGGCCGACAGAAAGAGATCCCCTTACCTAAAACAGGGTTCTGCTCTGTCCTTCCCCGGCCAGGACTCGGTGCATGAGAGAAAAGGGGAGCAAGTGTGGAGGGGAAAAGACACCTGCCCTGTGCAGCCTGGCTGCRTTCCTGGGAAACCAGGGCTCCTGACAGAGAAACCAGAGCTGCAGCCTCCCGGGGATTTCTGTGCTGTGCGTGGTAAGCAGGGGCTGCAGTCACTCTGAGGRCACTGCTGCAGACAAAGCATCACAGCAGTGTCACAGGCAGGATTTGGAAAGGGGAGCACAGAGATTTGTGTGAGMTGGAGCAAAAGAAGGGATCATTCTCCACACTGTCATCAAGCATGGCATGTGAAATTTCCAAACTTTCCAGAGCCTGCTTTTGAGAACTGTGCAGTGAAATGCTGATGGAAGAGGTGGTTGTGAATAACCCCCATGTTCTTCAGCTGAAGCTGTGCAGAAAATGGGAAAGCTCAGGGAGGCTTCGTGCTGTGYTTGTTCCCAAAGAAAGTATGGAAGAGACGGAAACATCTTTTACAAACTGGTACTTGCTGATTTCAAGATTAAGGGGAAATTAATTTGCAGGTGCTTCTACCATCTAAGAAGAAAGAAAAACACTCACTTAAAGAGTGCTCTTGGCAGCAAACATTAAATAGAGGTGGAAAGCTAATATCAATTGCAAATGTAAATATATGTATSTATAATACATATAAAAYATTTAGCCTCACTTTTGCTGTATTGAATAYTTTGAATAAATAATTTCTGGCTGCAATGGATGAAGAAGATGGATCTGCAAAACTTCTGAAAAGTCACCCTGATTTTCCAATGTCTGATTCTGGCTCTGCCTTGAACAGGCCTTGAGGGTCTGTTCAGAACATGCATCTGCACATAGGCAGGGGAAGGAATGAATTTTCCCCCATTTGCTCATGAAAATTTGTTGACTGCTGGAGAAGGATCCCACAATAGAAGGGCCTTTGGTCCAATGTGCACCAAAGCTTCTATGCTCATGTTGTGCTTTCTACGTATGTAGTTAGAAACAAGCTGAAGTTATTGACTTCCTGAACTCCAGAGGGGAGGAATGAAAAACACCAGGAGGCTCTTAGAAAATCACTCAATCATGCTCATCATTCTTGAGGAGACTGAAGCACATGGTAGACTTTGCAGGAGTCAAAGTTTGCCCCAAACCTGTCTCACTCGCTCCATCCCTGAGCTGGGTGGCAAAGGGGAGACCACAGAAGGAATTGTGTCATTCCAGTTGGCCAATGAGCTCAAAGTTGTTGGAGAGGAAAAGCAAAAGCAAAAGGCCCAGTGGCAGCASAGAGCAGCCATCCATGGTGGAGCTTTATACAGTGAGGAACCCCAGGTATCTGCTTGTCTGTGTCCCTCGCAGATGAAAAAGAATTAACATTGATGGCATTCATAAATGTCCATTATTTATTGTCATTAATCTCCAGTTCACTGCATTCATAATCATCTTTTCCATGMAATAACTCCTTGCAAAGAAGTCTCCAGTAAACCATGGACCATTTGTTCAGCCTGGCTCGTCTCAGTGCATTCCTTGAACTCCATATCATGGTTCTGTTCATGCTGAAATCATCAGAGCTGTTTTCTCAACAATGTGGCCCAAAGTCTACCCTTATATGCTCACATGGGAATCTTCATGACCTGACTGAAAACCACTCAAAGTGACCCAGGCCTGTTTCACAGGAACACAGCTCTGTCTTTCCTCTGAGTGCCTTTTGGATCCCCTACAGTTTCCCTACAGTGCTGTCAAAGGTTTTCCTGGACAGAGAAAAGCTCCTGTGCCCTAACCCTAGAAATACAGAGCAGGGGGCTGAGGCCTAAAGAAATTTGATCCTATAAGTAATGTTTCTCAAGCTGATCACAAGCTCAAGATTAAATATTATCCCTAGTTCAAGTACTGACCATGTGAAATAGCAAACAGAAGTCCAGCCTTTTTATAGTGGTGCAGAAGGTATTTCATCATCTTAAAAGCATCATTAAGGTGTTAAAGATAGATGGTGCCTGCAGCATGGATTACTGGATATATCTGGTTTTTCTAACTGTTGGTACACCAACCTGCTTTTACCAGTTTGTACATTATAGRTGGGGACAGAATGACACATCTCAAGAGGACGGATTCTCTTTACCTCAGATTTCATTCCATATAAATAAAKGAAAAAGGAAAGGTACAACCGTGGATTTACGTTTTTTTTTTTTCCTCCATAGACACACAATAATGATAACAACTCCATTTTCCCTGATGTTTAATTCCTTTTCTTTTTAATTGCTTAACAAACTGTGCCTGTACCTCACTACTCAAGGTGTGTGTGGGAGTTGAATGTATAGCAGACTGTAAAGCATGCAAAGCTCATCAGCAGCA